ACATGGGAATGTGAGATACGTAGAGAGGAAGGAGCACAGCCGCCCACGAAAAGAGAAAGGAAATGGTGGTGATCCATGATACTAATAGATGTATGGCTAACCTATGATAGGTAATCACATAAATCTGGGTGAGTGTTCTGTGTTGGTGGTGGAGGATCGCTGAACCACTTACAGTACGGTGTCAAAACTGGTGGCCCTCCAGCTGTTTGCCAAACAACAAGTCCATGAGGCATTTGCGAGATTGACTGTTATAAGCATGCTTCTCCAAAGGCAGAGGCATGATGGGACTTGTAGTTTGGGCAACAGAGCTGGAGGGCCGCCAGTTGACACCCCTGCCTTAGACCATGGTGTGTCAAACTGCGGCCCCCAGCTCCGTTGACAAACTACAAGTCCCATGAGGCATTGCCAAAAATTGAGTTACAAGCATGACTCCCCCAAAGGCAGAGGCATGATGGGACTTGTAGTTTGGCAACAGCTGGAGGGCCGCCAGTTTTACACCCCTGCAACTACGGCATGGACTGTTTGAAGAGAGCACTTTTGACCACAAACGCTTTAATAAGAAATCAGTTATTTTGCAAAATAATGTAAATAATTGAAAGCACAAGGGCACTTTAATACTTTATTGAAATATGGTTTATTGCCCTTTATTTGGATGTCAAAGTAATTAACCATTTGCCTACCGCCCTATAGCAGATATACTGCAACATGGCGGCCACTCTGCGCAAAATCTCACATTTTTTAGGTCCATGTAGGGGGTGCGCATGTGGCGCCCTACCCCCGCGCTGCTATTGGTTGCAGTTGATGTCAATCACTGGGTCCCCGCTGGTGAATATCGGCCAGCACTCAGGGATCGTCGGTGAAGCTGAGAGGGAGAGACCTGTGTGTAAACAACACAGATCTCTCTCCTGTCAGCGTGGACATTTTGCTTTGTATCTCTCTGCACAGCAAAGAGAGAAAGCAGCATGTCTCTGTAGTACAACACACACAGCACACAGGGTAAGCACAACACAGCACACAGTTAACCCTTTGATTGCCCCATATTTTAATCCTTTCCTGCCCAGTGCCATTAGTACAGTGTCAGTGCTTTTTATTTGGTTTTAGTGTCACTGGGGATGTCAGTGGCCGTTAGCTCCCACCCAGTGTCAGAAGTGCCCACCGCAGTCCCGTTGTAAGTCTATCAAAATCGTCAATTTTTTTTTTTTGTTTATAGCACAAAAATAAAAGACGCACAAAATAAAAATTCCATTATATATACCACCATTTGTAGACAACATAACTTTCACGTAAACCAATTAATTTACACGGATTGGGTTTTTTTTTTTTAGCAAAGACATGGAGCAGAATACATTTTGGTCTAAATTTATGACGAAACATTTATTTTTATTATTGGATGTTTTATAGCAAAAATATAGTTTTTTTAAAAATAAAAAATGCAGAGATGATCAAATACCATAGAAAGAAAGCTGTTTGTGGGAAAAAAAAATGACATAAATTTCATTTATGTACAGTGTTGCACGACCGCGCAATTATTAGTTAAAGTAACGAGTGCCATATCGCAAAAAATGGCCTGGTCAAGAAGGGGGGTAAATCCTCTGGAGGAAAAGGGGTTCATAGTGGAACAATAGATAATTACTTTATGTATTAGGATATGTTTTTGGAATATCCACTCAGTTCCCTCAACCCTATCCAAGTTCTCCAAACTGTCCGCAATTTATACACCGTTTCTATTCTTGGAATATCCCACTCAGTTCCCTCATCCCCATCCAAGTTCTCCAAACTGTCCTAAATTTGTATAGTTTCTGTTTTGGAGTACCCCACTCAGTTCCCTCATCTCTATCCAAGGTCTCCAAACTGTCCGCAATTTGTACATAGCTTCTGCTTTTGGAGTGTCCACTCAGTTCCCTCAACCCCATCCAAGTTCTCCAAACTGTCCTGTGTACATAGTTTCTGTTTTTGGAATATCAACTCAGTTCCCCCCTCAACCCCATCCAAGTTCTCCAAACTGTCCTAAATTTGTATAGTTTCTGTTTTTGGAGTACCCCACTCAGTTCCCTCATCTCTATCCAAGGTCTCCAAACCGTCCGCAATTTGTACATAGTTTCTGTTTTTGGAGTATCCACTCAGTTCCCTCAACCCCATCCAGGTTCTCCAAACTGTCCTAACTGTGTACATAGTTTCTGTTTTTGGAATATCAACTCAGTTCCCTCAACCCCATCCAAGTTCTCCAAACTGTCCTAAATTTGTATAGTTTCTGTTTTTGGAGTACCCTACTCAGTTCCCTCATCCCAATCCAAGTTCTCCAATCTGTCCTAAATTTGTACATAGTTTCTATTCTTGGAGTATCCACTCAGTTCCCTCAACCCCATCCAAGTTCTTCAAACTGTCCTAAATTTGTACATAGTTTCTGTTTTTGGAGTATCCACTCAGTTCCCTCATCTATATCCAAGTTCTCCAAACTGTCTTAAATTTGTATAGTTTCTGTTTTTGGAGTATCCACTTAGTTCCCTCAACCCCATCCAAGTTCTCAAAACTGTCCTAAATTTGTACATAGTTTCTGCTTTTGGAGTATCCACTCAGTTCCTTCAAACCCCATCCAAGGTCTCCAAACTGTCCTAACTGTGTACATAGTTTCTGTTTTTGGAGTATCCACTCAGTTCCCTCATCCCAATCCAAGTTCTCCAAACTGTCTTAAATTTGTATAGTTTCTGTTTTTGGAGTATCTCACTCAGTTCCCTCATCCCAATCCAAGTTCTCCAAACTGTCCGCAATTCGTACATAGCTTCTGCTTCAGGAGTACCCCACTCAGTTCCCTCATCCCTATCCAAGTTCTCCAAACTGTCCTGTGTACATAGTTTCTGTTTTTGGAATATCCACTCAGTTCCCTCATCCCTATCCAAGTTCTCCAAACTGTCCGCAATTTGTACATAGTTTCTATTCTTGGAGTATCCACTCAGTTCCCTCATCCCATCCAAGTTCTCCAAACTGTCCGCAATTTGTACATAGTTTCTATTCGGAGTATCCACTCAGTTCCCTCATCCCATCCAAGTTCTCCAAACTGTCCTAAATTTGTATAGTTTCTGTTTTTGGAGTACCCCACTCAGTTCCCTCATCTCTATCCAAGGTCTCCAAACTGTCCGCAATTTGTACATAGTTTCTGTTTTTGGAGTATCCACTCAGTTCCCTCAACCCCATCCAGGTTCTCCAAACTGTCCTAACTGTGTACATAGTTTCTGTTTTTGGAATATCAACTCAGTTCCCTCAACCCATCCAAGTTCTCCAAACTGTCCTAAATTTGTATAGTTTCTGTTTTTGGAGTACCCTACTCAGTTCCCCTCATCCCAATCCAAGTTCTCCAATCTGTCCTAAATTTGTACATAGTTTCTATTCTTGGAGTATCCACTCAGTTCCCTCAACCCCATCCAAAGTTCTTCAAACTGTCCTAAAATTGTACATAGTTTCTGTTTTTGGAGTATCCACTCAGTTCCCTCATCTATATCCAAGTTCTCCAAACTGTCTTAAATTTGTATAGTTTCTGTTTTTGGAGTATCCACTTAGTTCCCTCAACCCCATCCAAGTTCTCAAAACTGTCCTAAATTTGTACATAGTTTCTGCTTTTGGAGTATCCACTCAGTTCCTTCAACCCCCATCCAAGGTCTCCAAACTGTCCTAACTGTGTACATAGTTTTCTGTTTTTGGAGTATCCACTCAGTTCCCTCATCCCAATCCAAGTTCTCCAAACTGTCCGCAATTCGTACATAGCTTCTGCTTCAGGAGTACCCCACTCAGTTCCCTCATCCCTATCCAAGTTCTCCAAACTGTCCTGTGTACATAGTTTCTGTTTTTGGAATATCCACTCAGTTCCCTCATCCCTATCCAAGTTCTCCAAACTGTCCGCAATTTGTACATAGTTTCTATTCTTGGAGTATCCACTCAGTTCCCTCATCCCATCCAAGTTCTCCAAACTGTCCTGTGTACATAGTTTCTATTCTTGGAGTATCCACTCAGTTACCTCATCCCTATCCAAGTTCTCCAAACTGTCCGCAATTTGTACATAGCTTCTGCTTTTGGAGTGTGTCCACTCAGTTCCCTCAACCCCATCCAAGTTCTCCAAACTGTCCTGTGTACATAGCTTCTGCTTTTGGAGTACCCCACTCAGTTCCCTCATCTCTATCTAAGTTCAACAATAAACCCGCCCCCCAGACTGGTTATGAGGAAACAAGTGACTGTGTTTATGTACCAAGCTGCTGGGCTCTCCCTTTGGGAAAATCTGGGCAAACTCCCCCAGTGGCTCCTACGGGAGTAAGCACTATATTAATGCAGTATTAATACTGCAGTTCCGCATTATGGCCACTAGATAGAGCCGATGATCATAGGAAATCACTGTATGAAATAAAATACGGCCAACATTCCTCATGGTTATGTGAATGCTGGGCACAACATATTATTAAAAATAGACCTCTGTTTGTGAACACTTTGAAAATGTACTCAGCCAATGAATGGGCAGGACTCCATTTTTATTCTTCTGCTATCAATGGTCAACCCGGTCCACACTTCATCCATGTCTTTGGTGACCTCTGATCTCCTTATGAACTGTTTCTTCCATGATGAAGATCAGCCATGGAGTATATCTGAGGCGTATATCAGGGTGTGCTTCTTCCCCACATGAGAGCTGGGATGTCCAGCAATGTTCACCTAGAAGACATTTCCCGCACTCAAGGCACTAATACACCTCCAGGGTTGTGTAGGCTCCCTGATGTACAGGAGACAGGACTTCACTGAAAAACATTTCCTGCACTCAGAACAAAGAAAGTGGCCTCTCCCCCATTTAAAATCTCTGATGTCTGCAAGATGGAAATTCCCTGAAAAACATTTCCCTCACTCAGGACAGGAATATGGCTTTCACACTGTGAGATCTCTGATGTGTGACAAGCTCTGATTTTTTGTTCAAAACATTTTCCACACTCAGGACAGGAATGAAGCATCTCACCTATGTGAGTCCGCTCATGTTTGATAAGATTGGTCTTCTTTGTAAAACATTTCCCACACTCAGAACAGGAATAAGGCTTCTCACCCGTGTGAGACCTTTGATGTATGGTAAGATTGGATTTCTGTGAAAAACATTTTCCGCACTCAGGACAGGAATGAGGCTCTTCTCCCCTGTGTGCAATTTCTCATGTCTGTAAAGATGTGACTTAACTGAAAAACCTTTCCCGCACACTGGACAGTAATAACGGCTTTTCCCCTGTGTGAGATCTTTGATGTGTGACAAGATCCGTTTGTCGCACAAAACATTTCCCGCACTCAGAACAGACGCATTTTTTTCCCCTGTGTGAGTCCTTTGATGTATGACAAGTTCTGATTTTTCTGCAAAAAATTTCCCGCACTCAGGACAAAATAAGGCTTCTCACCTGTGTGAGATTTCTGATGTTTGGAAAGATGGGACTTCTGTGAAAAACATTTTCCCACACTCAGAACAGGAAAATGGCTTCTCCCCCGTATGAGATCTTTGATGTTTGTAAAGGGAGGATTTATTTGACAAACATTTCCCGCACTCAGGGCAGGGATACGGCCTCTCCCCTGTGTGAGACCTTTTATGCTCCTTAAGATTATATTTACAACGAAAACCTTTCCCGCACTCAGTACAGGAGAACCTCTTCTCTGTTTGGAAGGCCGGCCCGGTCCCGCACAGTCTGAGGTTCCTCAGGATACGAGGAATCCGATGGTCCATCTACACTGGGTGGTGCCGGATGGACATTGGAGGGAGCCGGGTTTTCTCCTGGACTATACTGTGTGATGTCCTCATCTTCTACTTTCCAGTCTGGAGACAAAGTGAGACAATCCTCTGAGGTTTTCCTCATCTCCCGGCCATGGACTAAAATACAAAGACAAAGAGGATTACTAGACAGGAGCTGATTGGTTCCCCCAAACCAGGACTCCGCCCACATCAGGCAGCTTGTTCTCTGAGGAGCTTACAATTCCACCCTCAAGGGAACTAGGAAATGGCTCCTCTGATCTCCTACCAGGTCATTTCTTTATTCTATGGACCTTAGTCAGAGAGTGAGGAAACAACCAGAACTGTCTTTTATAGGAGGGACAGTGATGAGGGGATTATAGGACGAGATGTTACGGTTCCCTCCTCCCACACCGCTGTCTCCCGTCTCCTGAGACCGCACTCCATGACCGGGATCAGAGACTAATACAGACATATCCCTCTATATTTGCTGAAAAATCTACATTTTTCTTCCAGCTGAACCCCAGAATGTCCATAAATCCAGTCTAGATACATAAATTGTGTCTGCAGCACAGAGAAGGAAGATTATCCGAGAGAAATCCAGGAATACAGGACGGGGAACACAGCTCAGGAAAGTGACCAGGGGATTACAAGCTGATATCACCCAGCCCCCGCCCTACTCTGGACCAATCAGTGAGCAGTATGGGTGGAGGAATAGATTTAGTGTTCATGACCCACCTGTGCTGATCTCTGTAGGAGTGTCCTCCTCTATAAATGTCCCCGTTATTCCATCCTCCTCCATAGACTGCTGATCATCATCCCCACATACGCCTCTTCTTCTTCTTCTGATTTAACTTCAACTTTGGACTCTCTGAGGTTTCCACTCTGAAAAATATAAATAAAAAAATGAGAAATTGTAATAATAAAGATTTTTTACAGATCCTAATGATACGTTCAATGATTGTCCATCATGACGTCCTTGTAGAGATCCTTGTGTCCTTCTAAATACTCCCACTCCTCCATGGAGAAATAGACAGTGACACCCTGACACCTTATAGGAACCTGACACACACAATGATACAGTCACCATCCAGACACATCCCTTGTCTGTTACTGGAGAAATGTCCCAGAATTCCCGGCACCGCTCACCTCTCCTGTCAGCAGCTCCATCATCTTCTTGGTGACTTCTAGAATCTTCTGCATGTTGTGTCTCTCAGGTTTTAGAGAGTCACATGGAGGCACGGTGATGGTCATATGATCACCTGACTTCACAGGAGGAAATCTCTGTATTGAGGAACCAATAGGAATATCATGTTAGAATCCCAGAATCCTCCTCACCTCTCCGGTCAGGTCTGTGTTTTATTAATAGAGATAAGAGTGATGTCATGTGACCTCCCAGAATCCTCCTCACCTCTCCGGTCAGGTCTGTGTTTTATTAATAGAGATGAGAGTGATGTCATGTGACCTCCCAGAATCCTCCTCACCTCTCCGGTCAGGTCTGTGTTTTATTAATAGAGATAGGAGTGATGTCATGTGACCTCCCAGAATCCTCCTCACCTCTCTCCGGTCAGGTCTGGTGTTTTATTAATAGAGATAGGAGTGATGTCATGTGACCTCCCAGAATCCTCCTCACCTCTCCGGTCAGGTCTGTGTTTTATTAATAGAGATGAGAGTGATGTCATGTGATCTCCCAGAATCCTCCTCACCTCTCCGGTCAGGTCTGTGTTTTATTAATAGAGATGAGAGTGATGTCATGTGACCTCCCAGAATCCTCCTCACCTCTCCGGCCAGCAGGTAGATGATCTCCAGGGTGAGGTTTAGTATCTTCTCAGTCATGTGACTCCGGTCCTCCTCCATCCTCATTGGTGCCATCATGTGATCTATACAGGTCTCCTTGTAGACGGATAACTTTGGGAAATGAAAGTAAGAATGATTTGGATGGTATTGGTCACACAATAATAGGATGTGGATGTGAAGGGGGGATAGGAGGGTTGCTGGACATTTAGTAACTACAGACCCCATGGGAACACATTTAGTCTGGTAGGTTTACCATTTGCCACACATATTTGAGCTCCTGGGACCCTGTTTGACCTGCCAGATCAGTAATTCCCTTTTCTCTGTTGGGTTTGTTTTATTTCTGAACTGGTTGTCAATAGTTTAGGTCTGCAAAGGAATCATAAATACAATATTTTTTCCTTTTTTGTTTCGCTCTGAGGAAGTGCTTAGAGGTCAATGTAGGGTCATCACGATGTTCTACAAAGGGAACTTGCTGACCTTTGGCCAGGGTTGCTAATAAGGATAATTGGCAGAACTCTGGCAGCAAAGTTCCAATCTCGGGTAGTCTGCTGACTGACAGGAGTGATGTCATTGTCACTCTCTGCAATAAGAGAAGGGATTGGATTGGGTAGTAGGAGGATGCTGCTGGTGGAGTAGAGAGCTGTGGGAAGGAATCTCTTCTCTTCCCTCCAGTGGCAGCCCAGTGTGGACAGGAGGAGGACACAGAGGAGAGCGAGAGATTTGTTCTCTTGGTTGTCAGGTATTCTGTAGTATTCAGGACTTTGTACAGAGTGGCAGTGGGTTCCTTTTTTTTTTCATTGATTCCCCATATGCACATCCTTGATCCCTGACCACCTGTTGGATCCATCAATATTGCACATGCAGATCTCCTCTAAGAAGTGCTCACCAGTGAGTAAAGTATTGCCCTTCTCCATTCCACTTGGTATCGTAGAACATGTTACTTCACCAGTGAGATGGAAAGAAGGTGAAGGTTGTCTTTTCTTTTCTGGCAGGAGTTTGGTAAGGAAGTCTAAAAAGTAAGTGGAGATGGGAAGACCATCATAGACCAAGAGCCCTCCTCACTCTTCTAGAGTTCTTCTAAGCCCTACAGCCTCCTCTTCCTTCACAGCCCCGCTGCCCAACAATCCTATCAAAGGCCTAGAGTCCTTCAGATACAATACCCCCCCTCAGAGCTCTTCAACCCCACTATCCCCCCAGGGGCCCCTGGAGTTCATCAACTATCCATTAAACCTCACAGCCTCTCAGTTTAAAAATATATTTCCTCTCTCTGACACCAATGATGATATTCTTCATGATAGGCTGGGGAATGTTTTCTTCCTACTGACCAGTAATGTAGGGGGCTCTATGCGCTACACTCCTGACCCCTGCACTCCATCATGGTGTTGCCTGCAAATTGTAATAATTGCCCATTGTAGGCCATATTTTGCCAGGATGGTCATTGTCTTGTCTATCTGTAGTACCCTTTGGTGTACATAGTTGGTAGTGTAGTTAGAGGCTTGTTAGAAGCCTGGGTGTGAGCCAGTGAGTTTATGTCAGTAAAATATATGTGGGTAGGTGGACCATCAGAGACCAAGAACCCTGCTCCCTTAGTGTCCTCCAGCTTCATCTTTCCTCAGGGCCCCCATCCCCTCAGAATCCTTCAGCCTCAGTACTCCCACAGAGGCCTGTACAGTCCCTCAGCCCTTCAGTACTCCTTACATCCACTCAGCCCGTCTTAATTCTCTCATGTCTGCGCTTGCTTCCCCCATCGTTGCTGTAATTTGCTCCAGCACAAGCCGATCAGTAGGTCCTAGCCAATTGGAAGTTTCAGTAAGGCTGCCAAAACAAGATCCAAGTCCATTGAAGCAAGGGAGGTCTGGAAGGAAGTACCACATGAGAGACCCCCTGGATAATAGTACAGACTAAAGAAAAACAAGCCAAGAGACATCGGAAAAGAGTCAAGGCAGAAACCCGACCCTTGATGGTATTAAGGGCAATACGATGGTCCAATCTATTTCGAAGGCAGGCCAAAATGCGAGCCACCAAGAACTGCTGAGGATGAAGCTTGTGCAACCTACAATAAGTAAAGTAGGAAAGTGCGATATTAAATGAAGCAAGAGGTGGACTTACAAGCATGAAGTATAGTGGAGATAACAGCTGAAGATAGACCCAGGTCCTTCAGCACCTGGTGGAGAAGTGCATCCTTCACTTAAATTGTTTTATTGGTGGATAAATTAATTTCACTGTGATGGACAACCTTTGCTGAACTTTTTGATGGACTTTTTTTTTTCTTTTGTAATAATTGTGTTTGTCACTTTTTTATGCATTTCATATTTTATTTTATGATGGTGTATTTTGGGTTGCACTAATTGATTGTTTGATATATTTGAGTTACTTGCACTAACCATCAATGTATCATTTTACTTTTAGGCACTGCATTTACCCTCTGTTAGGAATTTGAATATATAGATTCCTTGCAAGTCGCCTCACTACCTATTAGAGAAGACTTTGATAGTTACTTTGAGGTCATCTAGATAGCCCACAATCAAAACTCCTTGGAGTTGAAGGAGGGCTTGCACTGTTGTGAATACTTTGCATGAAGACTCGTTGTTTTGACCCCACACCAAAGGAGAGGGCTACAAATTGGAAGAACTGTTGGTGATTCAAGCAATTGGAAATATGGAGAGAAGCAGAGGAAAAGATCTCCTTGGTGTAAGGAAGCTACCATTGAGAGCATCAACTCCATCCAAAACTTGAGTAAAGGCATTCAAGGACTAGGTCTAAAATTGGGCGCACCCTGTCCTTTTTCAGGACTGTGAACAAATTGGACCAGAAAGACCATCTGATCCAAGGGCCTTTGAAGCTGTAGGTGAAGCTGAAGGTGGCGCTCCTCTGCAGCAGCAATGCAGGTCTTCGGTCACTGGGAGACAGCTATCTGATTGGATGCTGAAACCCCATGTGACTCTGTTGGCCATCTTGGGTCAGGCATAGTCTAGCTGAGAACCTGGCTCCCAGATTTTTTGCTCACATTTTGAAAGTGGGTGGAGAAGAGACAGGTCACCTGTCTGTCAGGGACAGTGCTTAGCATCATGGAAGGGTTCCAGAGGAGTAGAGAAAGTACAGGGACACGCTATTCTTCCTGTTTGGGTGCAGACTGGTCAGGCCGCATTCCACTCTTTGAGACAGACGCTGTAAGCATTTTGGTCCACCACTCTACTACAGCTTCTACATTCAAACAGGATTCGGCACACCCCCCTAGTGGCAAGAATCCATTGTAGAGGGACCTGGATGAAGACCAGAAGTGCTAATAGTTTGGGCTCTTTGGACATGTAGCCTGGAACTGCGGTCAGCCTGAAATCAAAAGCTCCTGTAGGCCGCCATAAAAACGTTCTCCTGGTGTGAAAAAAGATGGAAGTCTGTGATTCTGCATGAATTACCACAAGCTAAATGCCTGTCCATACCCATAACCCAGGGTGGAGGAGTCGCTTATAGCACTGGGTCAAGCCAAGTTTTTCTCTCTACCCTTGACGTAGCAAGCAGATATTGGCAAGTCCCAATGAGGAACCAAGACCATTAAAATACTTCCTTTATCACGCCCCTGATACTATTCAAATTCGGTCACAATGCCCTTCGGACTGAGCAATGCCCTTAGTACATTCCAACGATTAATGGAGAGATACTTGGGGGATTTTAATTTCGAGACTTTGCTAGTCTACCTGGACGCTATTATAATTTTCTATAAAACATTCAAGGACAATGTCCAACACCTGGACCGAGTGTTTACCCATTTAACCCAGTGTTAGGAAAGGCTTGTTCATAGCACAGACAATGCTCCCAGGTGCATATGTGGGCACAGGCCAGCAATTGTTCGGACACATAAGCCCAGACTCACTCGTGTCACTAATAATGGCCAAATGGGCTATTTAAACTGGGCTACAATACTGGCTCATTGCTGTTTGTTCAACAGCATTCCGTGCTCTTCATTGCCTGTTCCTGTGCCTGACTTCTGATCCTGACCTGGCTTGTCTCTGACCACGCTTGTACACTAACCACACTTGCACCTTAGCTTGTTCCTGAAACCTGTTCTTGTCTCCTGCTCATACCTCACCGTGCACTCATACCTCACTGTTCTCTTGCAGCCAATGCTCCATTACCAGTGGTTTCTGAGATAGAGCTGTAAGAAAGGCCTTCCTATTCACATCTTGCTCATTAACCAGGTATGTGCCCACCCAGTATGGGCTAAAACTTCAAGCCCAGTAAGTGCCACACTTAATGGTTAAAACATCTAGTACCTAAGCCATATCATGGAAGCCAGAGGGGTCTCCCCGAATCCAGCCAAAGTCCATACAATGCAGTATTGGCACCCCAAGAATTATTACTGAGGTGTGCTCTTTTCTGGGGCTGGTGGGATACTATTGGTGGTTCATTCCCAAGCTCGTATGACTCACCACCCCTCTCACCCAGATAAAAGAAAGGTGGGATGTCACCTTCCATCTAGTCTAGGCAAGAACCTTAACAACGTGTTTGAAGCTCTCAAAGAAAAGCTGACATAGGCTTCACTACTGGCACATGTGGACTACTCAAAAACCTTCTAGTGTATACAGATGAGAGCATACAAGGACTGGGGACAATCCTGGCCAAGGAGCAGGATGGGTGTGAATGTGTGATCACCTACGTGAGTGGCCCACTGAGAGGAATTCCCGTAATTATAGCTCTTTCAAACTGTAGTTGCTGGCCATCGTGTGGACCATTACTGAAAAATGTGCTGAATACCTCACAGGGGCAGAAAGAGAAGTTTTTACAGACAACCATCCCCTTGCCTACCTCAAAACAGCCAAACGTGGGGCCTTGAAGCAATGGTGGGTCACCCATTATAACTAGGAGATTAGCTACAATCTGGGAAGGCTGAACAGACATGAGATTGCTCTTTCCTGCTATTCGGTAGAATATTGAGGGGCAAGCATAGAAGAAAGCCTAGAGGACATGGAGGTAGCCTCTGTCCTACCTGCATTAGCCTTCTCATATTCCCACAAAGGAAGAACAGCAGTCCCCCAGGCAGAGCTTGGCGATATCCACACCTAGGAAGAGTGGGCCTTAATCCAACAAAAAGACCTCAACCTCATGCATGTGCAACCCTTCCTGTCATTTCAAGTGCTGCTTGCTGTGAGCAGGCATTTTGGAGTTGACTGAACTGAACTGAGGCTCTGGTTAGAAGGTATTCTTTTTGCCCACAACTGGCAGAATGGGTACAATAGGCTTGCCAGGAAAATGCACCCTGTTCTGTACATAAAGCCCTGCCCGAAAAAACTACACCCTTGGCTATCACCACCTCAGAGCCCTAAGAGCTGGTAACCATGGACTTTTTAAAGATCTTCAGCTCCCCCCAAGGATATTGGTATGCTCTAGTCTTTGTTGACCTCTTCACCAGTTCACTGTAGTGGTCCCCACTAAGGATGACCCCAACAATGGCTCAAGTATTTTTGGAGCACGTGGTCCAACCCTATGACTGTCCCAAATGTATATACTCAGACCAAGGCCCGAATTTTAATTATGTCCACACTGTGCTGCCTCAGTGATATCCAAAAGTCACATACCACCCCTTACCAATCACAGAGCAATGGAGCTTGTGGATGGTTCAATCTTACCCTGTTGGGAATGTTGAGGATTCTTGAGCAAGGTCATAGAGATTGTTGGCACCAACACATGGGAGGCAGTAGTGTTGCACTATAACAACACGGTACACCGAGCCACGAGCCATACTCTGTTCTTGATGATGTTTGGATGTTACAGCTATGGATGTCTTACTGGGCTCCCCAAAGTGTTCTACACCCCACATGCCCAGCACTTGGGTGCAAGAACACTGGGATCAGTTACAAAGAGCCAACAGGTGGTGCTGGATAGACTCAAGGACTTTGTTGAGGTTTACGCCTGCCATTGTAGCTGGCAGACTGGGCATTGGAGAAGAACACCAGAAGTGAAAGAGGCAGTAAGCTGGATCCAAAGTGGGAGCAGACCCCTATCGGGTAGAGAAGCAGCCCTTCTCTCTGACTCCAGTGTATGATGTAGTCTTTGAGGTTCCCAACCCCATTAAGAAGTGACTACAACAAAACTTGCTGCAACCCTACGTCCTGAGTGGCGATTGTTACATCAAACTGCCAACAGAGAGGGACAAGACTACGTGGATGTTCCACCAGTACAGGAGGTCCCTGATGAATGGTATCTGCCCTTATTTTTGCTAGAACATCCAGTTTGAACCGATTTAGAAGTAGAAGAGGAAGCCCAAGTACAATGCCTGTGGACAGTCCAGAAACCCCTGCAGGTCCTGTTGATGATCTGGGCTCTTGGCCACAAAAAAATGCATTACTCAGCAGAGACAGAAGAGCCAAACTTCTGCCATGCGTCCTTTTTCTTCCTTTGAAATATTTTCTAGCCGCCCCATATAGTGCAAGCACATAAACAATAAAGCAGCATACACAGAAAATACCCCCAGCAGCTTTTCAGACCCAAAACCCCCAAGAAGGCAAGAATAAATCAATATCAGGAACCATTTGAAGAGAAGGCATAGTTCTCAATCCATAGGTCCGGGGGAGGGGCAACACCTCTGATCCTTCAATGATCCAGGCCATCACCTCTGATCCTTCAATGATCCAGGCCATCACCTCTGATCCTTCAATGATCCAGGGCCATCACCTCTGATCCTTCAATGATCCAGGCCATCACCTCTGATCCTTCAATGATCCAGGCCATCACCTCTGATCCTTCAATGATCCAGGCCATCACCTCTGATCCTTCAATGATCCAGGTGATGTCAGCCTAAATGCAGCGGTACAACGGAAAGGCCAGGTCCAACCATCATACATGTTCACAAAGGGGTCAAGCCCCTACAGGCCACTCAGCAAGCAGAGTTGTCGTTGTCGTAGCCAATCCCACCATAACAGGGAACCTGCATGCACTCTATAACAGGGCTGGGGGGACTATGTATCCTGCCTGTCGCCCAGCACCGCAGTCGATCAAAGATGAAGAAATCCATGGAATGGAACAAAAATCCATTGATTGAAACAGAAAAAAGCAGAGATGAAGATTCTTAGGTCCTCATTCCTGAGTGCTAAGCAAAAACTAAAATTTGCACCCAGTATCCAGCTCCTGCAGGTGGCAACATCAAACCCATGAGTCATGAAGATCTGGCTGTGTCCTTCAATGAGCGGAAGAGAAATAAGAACTTATTACCTCCTTAGCTTCTACTTCCAGCAACGTCTCCTTGCTACTTCCCACCACATGGACTTTTCTGTCAGTACTGACATCACTTCCTGTCTTCCATAGATACTTCCTTGTCTGGGTAGAAGGAGATCACCACTTTGTGGAGCTCAGAGGAACTTCAGCCCCGAGAACCGTCACATAACGTCAACACGGCCTTGTGCTGTGACCAGGCCATTTTTTGCTGTTTGGTACTACGCTACTTGAACTGAGAATTGCGCGGTCTGTACCCAAATGAAATTTATATCATTGTTTTCACACAAATAGAGCTTTCTTTTGTTGGTATTTGATCACCATTGGGTTTTTTTATTTTATCATACGATATAAACGAAAGAGGATAGAAAATTCTGAAAAAAAAAAAAAACAATATTTTTTACTTTATCCTATAAAACAGATCCAATAAAAAAGTTAAAAATCAAATTTCTTAATAAATTTAGGCCAAAATGTGTTCTACTACATATTTTTTGGTAAAAAAAAGTGTATATTGATTGGTTTGCGTGAAAGTTATAGCGTCTACAAATGATGGTATATATACTGGAAGTTTTATGTATTTATTTTTATACTGGTAATGGCAGCAATCAGCAACTGATAGCAGGACTGTGATAGTACAGCGTGCAATCTGACACTTAACTGACACTTTGTAGGAACTGAAACTGACATCACCAATGACACTAATACAGTGATCAGTGCTAATAATATACACTGACACTGTACTAATGACACTGGCTGGGAAGGGGACAGTTAAAATCTAGGGCCAATCAAAGCATTAACTGTGTGCCCAACAATGCTTGGTGTGTTTACTGTGTGCTGATTTTAAGAAGGGATGTGCTAGTTTTATTCCCTGCTTTGCAGGGAAAGAAAACCCAGCACATCCCCAATGTCAAGACAGAGCTCTGTGTTGTTTACAATCACAAAGCTCTGTCCTGTCATCTGCTTTACCGATCATCCATCATTGGCCAGGACCCATTGATCAGCTTGTGCTGTAACTAATCACAGCACAGCCGGGGTGGTGAGCATGCACACACATGCCCCTTACCCGTACGTGATCCAGTGCAGAGAGGCTGCTTTGCCGCCATACTTCTATGTGAGCTGGTCGGCAAACGGTTACAGATGGGGTCATCTCTACTCCCACCAAGGGGGATAGAAATATATGACTGCCTAGTCCAGCCTTTCTCAGCCAGAGGTCCTCCAAAAGGTTTCTAGGGGTTCCTTCATCAATGAACAATTTCTGTCTCTCAGTAACAACTGACATCAGTGATCTGTAATCGGGACAGTCTCCCCACTGATGATGATGTAAGAATGTCCTTCTCGCACTGACCCCTGATAAATAGGGATCCTTCTCCTATTGGTCACCAATGTAAGGCACCACTACACTGATCACTGATATAAGGGGATCCTTCTCCCATTGGTCACCAATGTACAAGACTACTACACTGATCACTGATATAAGGGGATCCTTCTCCCATTGGTCACCAATGTACAAGACTACTACACTGATCACTGATATAAGGGGATCCTTCTCCCATTGGTCACCAATGTACAAGACTACTACAGTGATCACTGATATAAGGGGATCTTTCTCCCATTGGTCACCAATGCACAGGACCACTACACTGACCACTGATATTAGAGGGTCCTTCTCCCATTGGTCACCAATGTAAGGGACTACTACACTGACCAATAGGAATGGGCTCCAGGTTTTGTCTGAACCAAGGTTCAGAGAGAATTTTGCTGCTTCAGAGATTTGGACAATGAGCATTCAGCCAAATTCAACCTATTACTATCACTGCTAAATACCACCACACTGTAAATGTTGTCTGGTTCAGTGGAGAGAAAGAAAAATTAGACCATTGTGTGGTAGTGGAGATGCTGAGGTTCCCTGGATTTCAGTTTAGGATGAAGGTGTGCAATAGTATTTAGCAGTGATAGTAATAGGTTGAACTTGGCTGAATGTCCATTGTCCAAATCTCTGAAGAAAATTGGTGGAGGTGTACACACTTCAGTGAAGGAGGAACGAAGTGTGACCATTGTATGGTGGTGGTGGAGGTGTACACACTTCAGTGAAAGAGGGAATGAAGTGTGACCATTGTATGGTGGTGGTGGAGGTGTACACACTTCAGTGAAGGAGGAATGAAGTGTGACCATTGTATGGTGGTGGTGGGGGGTGTACACACTTCAGTGAAAGAGGAATGAAGTGTGACCATTGTATGGTGGTGGTGGAGGTGTACACACTTCAGTGAAGGAGGAATGAAGTGTGACCATTGTATGGTGGTGGCAACATTGAGGTTCCCTGGATTTTCATTAGGAGGAATAGTGCCTCAAGTTTGGTTTCAGTGGAAGGAATAGCACTTCAACATTTGTTTCATTGAAAGGAATAGTGACCCATCATAGGTATCAGTGGGATGAGTTATGCCCTGTCATTCGTATCAGTAATAGGGATAATGCCCCATTCTTGGCGTCAGTAGAAGGAACAACACCCCATAGTCGGTATCAATGTGGGTAATAATACCCTATATAAATGATGTTGGTGGGAAGAATGGTCCCCTAACATTTGAGTCACTGGGAGAAAAGGTACCCTAACAGTGTTACTGGCAGGAATTGTGCTGTCAGGAATGGACTTGCCAGTAATGGTGGGACTCACCTGCCTTGTGGGCTGCAGTACCAGGGCTGGCCAGCGGGTGCTCCCGGCAATCAGAGACTCAACCCTGCAGCCAGCCAAACATCTGAAACTGATCATGCAGGTGTATTTAAGGGATGGCCAGACCTGCAGTCTCTGCCTTGGTGTGTGTGTTTTTCATGGGCCCTGTATCTTGTTCCTGCATTCCTGTTCCTGTCTCTGTCTGATTCGTTGCTGACCCTGCCTGATTCCGGACCTCTGCTGACTTCTCCTGTTTCATCCCTGGCTTGTGACCTCGACCATTCTCTGCCTGACCCCCTGTTCCTACCTGCCCGATTGTTATTGACCCGGCCTGCCTGACGACGCTTGCATTGTATATATTGTTATCTGTTGGTGGTTTGGTTCGTTTGCACTGTGTTATGTTTTAGTATTGCACTGCATTTATGTTTGTATTGTTAGTCTTTAATAAATTGTCTTATTGTTTATAACATATCTGAAGTCTGCGTTTCCCTGCGTCAGTCACATACCTCTGGTCACACCCCGGAGCCCTGACATTACACCAAGGCCATCCTGACCAGAAGTGGCTGCACAGGGAAGCCATCTTGGCTTGTTGCTGGGAAGGATGGATCTGGATGAGGTTGTGTATTTGTCGCTGCTGGTTTTTGATGACAGAGATTATGCTTATCAGGCTCTGAGGGAGTATCCCCGGGATCAACTGCTAGAATGTATATGGATCGCTCATGTTCTAGTAGATCAGGGCACAGAGTTCTCTGAGGTGCAGCCTTTGATTCAGGTTTGTGTAGAGTTGGCTTCATCTGGTGCCCCTGAAAGCAGGAATGACTTTTTGCCGCCATTTAGTGCCGACCAGGTAGAGTCCCTGGTATGGTTATTAGAGGATGATGTGGATTGCTTCTTGGAGCATTATGCTGCATGTGCACCACAGGTATTAAGGGATTGTATAAACGCAGTGCAGTCTTTGACCAGACAGGCTTTGTGTAAGCTGAGCTTTGTTCAACCCATACTGCAGACATGGACAGACTTGTTGCACCCAGCCTCAGTCAGCTTGCAAAAACCCAGTCCTGCTTCAAATCTATTTCTTCAAAGCTCTATTCCTGCTTTCCCAACAGCACCTCCAGTTACAGCGCAGTATACCCTGCTATCTACCGCATGTCAGTACCCTGTTCCCACTCGCTGCACCTATCCTGCCTTTAACCCTGTAAAGAAGTCCTCTGTAGCAACTGTTCCCTCCCCTGTTCCATCCTCCAGCTCTTCTCTGTCTCCAGCTGCTCCATCCATTTACAAACCTGCGCTTACTTACAGTACTCCGGTAACTAAAACCAGGAAAAGGCGAAAGTTCTTTCCAACCAATACCATCCTGCCAGTATCCAAACCGGTCAGCCTCCCATCTGAGAACCTGCCTTCCATGGTGCAGCCTGGTGCCTCGGCGCCCACAATTCAGCCTGATGCCTCCACCCAGCCTGATGCCTCCACCAGCCTGATGCCTCCATTCAGCCTGATGTCTCTACCCAGCATGATGTTTCTACCCAGCCCGTTGAACTGATCCAGCCTGATGATCCTATTATGCCAGACGACTCGGTGCCCGCTGTTCCGCCAGTTGACTCGGTGCCCGCAGTCTTGCCAGACGACTTGATGCCCGCTGTTCCGCCAGTTGACTCGATGGCCGCTGTTCCGCCAGTTTGACTCGGTGCCCGCTGTTCCGCCAATTGACTCGGTGCCCGCAGTCTTGCCAGTCGACTCGGTGCCCGCTGTTCCGCCAGTCGACTCGGTGCCCGCAGTCTTGCCAGACGACTCGGTGCCCGCAGTTCCGCCAGTTGACTCGGTGCCCGCAGTTCCGCCAGTTGACTCGGTGCCCGCAGTTCCGCCAGTTGACTCGCCCGCAGTTCCGCCAGTTGACTCGGTGCCCGCAGTTCCCCAGTTGACTCGTGTGCCCGCAGTTCCGCCAGTTGACTCGGTGCCCAAAGTCTTGCCAGTTGACTCGGTGCCCGCAGTCTTGCCAGACGACTCGATGCCCGCTGTTCCGCCAGTTGACTCAATGCCCGCTGTTCCGCCAGTTGACTCGATGCCCGCTGTTCCGCCAGTTGACTCGGTGCCCGCGGTCTTGCCAGATGACTCGGTGCCCGCAGTCTTGCCAGACGACTCGGTGCCCGCAGTCTTGCCAGACGATTCAATGCCTGATGACCCAGTGCCCGCGGTCATGCCAGTTGACTCAAAGCCCACTGTCGTGCCTGGTGACTCGGTGCTCACTGCCTTGCCAGATGACGCGGTGCCCGCTGGCGAGCCAAATGACCTGATGCCTGGTGACCCAGTGCCTGCTGTCATACCTGGTGAACCGATGCCGCTGTTGAGCCAGACAATCCCATGCCCGCTGTGCCCGCTGAGCCAGACAATCCCGCTGTGGGCTGATGACCAATGTCTGACCCAGTGCCCGCTGTCATGCCTGACTCGGACCCGATGCCCTCGGTGCCTGTCGCGGTGCCCGCTGGCCCAAATGACCTGATGCCAATGTCTGACCCGCTGTGCCCCCGATCGGTCATGCCAATTGACTCGGAGTCCTACTGTTGTGCCTGGTGACTCGGTGCGCACTGCCTTGCCAGATGACGCGGTGCCCGCTGGCGAGCCAAATGTCCTGATGCCTGGTGACCCAGTGCCCGCTGTCATGCCTGGTGACCCGATGCCCGCTGTCAAGCCAGACAATCCCATGCCTGATGACCCAGTGCCCGCTGTCATGCCTGGTGACCCGATGCCCGCTGTCGGGCCAGACGATCCAATGTCTGACCCAGTGCCCGCGGTCATGCCAGTTGACTCGGAGCCCACTGTCGTGCCTGGTGACTCGGTGCCCACTGCCTTGCCAGATGACGCGGTGCCCACTGGCGAGCCAAATGACCTGATGCCTGGTGACCCGATGCCCGTTGTGGTGCCTAATGACCCGCTGTGCCCGCCGCTCCGCCTGGGGGCTCCTGCCCGGTGTCCGCCGCTCCCCTGGGGGCCTGACGATGCCTGTCTGCCTCGCCTGGGTCATGCCCGATGCCCACACCCCTCCTGGGGGCCTGGTGCTCGCTGCTCCGCCTGGGGGCGCAGTGCCCGATGCCTGCCGCCCCGCCTGGATTGCCCGGTGCCCCCGCCCCGCCTGTGGTGCCTAATGCCCGGTGCCTGCCGCTCCGCCCTGGGGGCCCGGTGCCCCGCCCCGCCTGGGGGCCTGATGCCTGTCGCCCCGCCTGGGGGCCCGATGCCCATCACCCCGCCTGGGGGCCCGATCCTGGGGGCCTGTCGCCCCGCTGCTCCGCCTGGGGGCCCCGATGCCTGCCGCCCCCTGCCTGGGGTGGCCCGATGCCCCCGCCCCGCCTTGGGGCCCCGCCTGGTGGGGGCCCCGATGCCCCGCATGTCGCCCCGCCTGGTGGCCCGGTGTCCGCCCGTCTGGGGGCCCGCCTGGCCCGATCCTGGGTGCCCCGCTGTGCTGTCGCCGCCTGGTGATCCGGTGTCCGTCCAGCTCCGCCTGCCCGTGATGTGCCGCTGCCCTGGTGATCCGGTGTCCAGCCCGATGTGCCGCTGCCCGGAGTCCAGCCCGATGTGCCGCTGCCCGGAGTCCAGGTGTGCCCTGCCCGGTGTGCCCGATGATGCCGCTGCCCGGAGTCCTGCCCGATGTGCCGCTGCCCGGAGTCCTGCCCGATGTGCCTCTGCCCGGAGTCCTGCCCGATGTGCCTCTGCCCGGAGTCCTGCCCGATGTGCCTCTGCCCGGAGTCCTGCCCGATGTGCTCTGCCCGGAGTCCTGCTCGATGTGCCTCTGCCCGGTGTGCCGCGGCCCGGAGTCCTGCCCGATGTGCCGCTGCCCGGTGTCCCTGCCCGATGTGCCGCTGCCGGTGTCCTGCCCGAATTGTCCGCTGCCCGATGTGCCGCTGCCCGGAGTCCTGCCCGATGTGCCAGTCTTTGATATCCCGCCAGTTACCAGGACCCGGGCGGTGGAACATTTCGCCCAGCTAGGACTGTTTGGAGCGTCCTGAGGCCGCTCCTTGAGGGGGGGGGGTACTGTCAGGAATGGACTTGCCAGTAATGGTGGGACTCACCTGACTTGTGGGCTGCAGTACCAGGCTGGCCAGCGGGTGCTCCCGGCAATCAGAGACTCAACCCTGCAGCCAGCCAAAACATCTGAAACTGATCATGCAGGTGTATTTAAGGGATGGCCAGACCTGCAGTCTCTGCCTTGGTGTGTGTGTTTTTTCCTGGGCCCTGTATCTTGTTCCTGCATTCCTGTTCCTGTCTCTGTCTGATTCGTTGCTGACCCTGCCTGATTCCGGACCTCTGCTGACTTCTCCTGTTTCATCCCTGGCTTGTGACCCCGACCATTCTCTGCCTGACCCCCTGTTCCTACCTGCCCGATTGTTATTGACCCGGCCTGCCTGACGACGCTTGCATTGTATATATTGTTATCTGTTGGTGGTTTGGTTTGGTTCGTTTGCACTGTGTTATGTTTTAGTATTGCACTGCGTTTATGTATTGTTAGTCTTTAATAAATTGTCTTATTGTTTATAACATATCTGAAGCCTGCGTTTCCCTGCGTCAGTCACATACCTCTGGTCACACCCCGGAGCCCTGACATGTACCCTATCGCTGGTGTCACTGGGACACTATTAATTTCAGTGGGAGGAATTGGGCCCTGTTCTCGTTATCAGGGAAAGGAATAGGGCCCCATTGTTTGATCAGTAGAAGGAATAATGCCCAGTATACACCCAGTGTAGCTCCTCTCTGTATGAAATTAAAGACCAAAATGACAATAAAAATGTATGTGAAATATACCACAAAACTTGTAGGCATTTATTCACAGGGGACAGACCAGACTGGGGGGATTGTACTGGGGACAGACCAGACTGGGGGGATTGTACTGGGGACAGACCAGACTGGGGGGATTGTACAGGGACAGACCAAACTGGGGGGGATTGTACTGGGGACAGACCAAACTGGGGGGGATTTTACTGGGGACAGACCAGACTGGGGGGATTGTACTGGGGACAGACCCAGACTGGGGGGATTGTACTGGGGACAGACCAGACTGGGGAGGTTGTACTGGGGACAGACCAGACTGGGGGGATTGTACAGGGGACAGACCAAACTGGGGGGGATTGTACTGGGGACAGACCAAACTGGGGGGGATTTTACTGGGGACAGACCAGACTGGGGGGGTTGTACTGGGGACAGAATGAACTGGGTGGATTGTACTGGAGACATAATGAACTGGAGGGGGAATTGTACTGGGGACAGACCAAACTGAGGGGGACTGGGTACAGACTAAACTGGTGGGATTGTACTGAGGACAGACCAAACTGGGGCAGATTGGGGGGGGAATTGTACCGGGGACAGACTGAACTGGGGGGATTGTACTGGGGAAAGACTGATCTGGGGGGATTGTACTGGGAATAGATTGATCTGGGGGAATCTGGCGGGGGGGGATTGTAATGTGGGGCAGACTTGTACCTGGGGGACAGACTGACCTGAGGGTATTGTACTGGGAGGCAGACTGACCTGGGGGGATTGTACTGGGGGGCAGACTAACCTGGGGGGGTACTGGGGGATAGACTAACCTGGGGGGGGGGGGTACTGGGGGGGGGGGGGTACTGGGGACTGACTTGGTGGGAGATTGTACTGGGTGGCAGACTAACCTGGGGAGGTACTGGGGGATAGACTGACCTGGGGGGATATTGTACTGGGGGGCAGACTAACCTGGGGAGGTACTGGGGGATAGACTGACCTGGGGGACTTACTGTACTGGGGGACAGACTGGGGGACAGACTGGGGGAGATTGTACTGGGGGACAGACTGACCTGGGGGGATATTGTATGGGGGGGGAAAGACTGACCTGGGGGGTTGTACTGGGGTATAGACTGAACTTAGGGGGGATTGTACTGGGGACAGACCACCTGGGGGGACTGTACTGAGGACAGATTGAACTGTGGGGAGGTTGTACTGGGGACAGACCAAACTGGGGCAGATTGTACTGGGGACAGACCGAACTTGGGGGATTGTACTGGGGGCAGAGCTGAACTGGGGGGAATTGTACTGGGGACAGACTGAACTGGGGGGGGACTGTACTGGGGACAGACTGAACTGGGGGGATTGTACTGGGGACAGCAGACCAAACTGGGGGGACTCTGTACTGGGGGCAGACTGAACTGGGGGGATTGTACTGGGGACAGACTAAACTGGGGGGGGTTGTACTGGGGGGGGGCAGATTGCACTGGGGACAGATCAAACTGGGGGTTTGAACTGGGGACAGATACAGACTGACCTGGGGGGATTGTACCGGGAAAGACTGAACCTGGGAGGATTGTACTGGGGGCAGACTGATCTGGGGGATTGTACTGGGGACAGACTGACCTGGGGGGGGGGATTGTAATGTGGGCAGACTGACCTTGGGGTTTGTACTTGGGGGACAGACTGACCTTGGGGGTTGTACTGTGGGGCAGACTGACCTGGGGGGATTGTACTGGGGGCAGACTGACCTGGGGGGATTGTACTGGGGGATAGACTGACCTGAGGGTATTGTACTTGGAGTCAGACTGACCTTGGGGGTATTGTACTGGGGGGCAGACTAACCTGGGGGGTACTGGGGGATAGATAAACCTGGGGGGTACAGGGGGGGCAGACTAACCTGGGGAGGTGTACTGGGGGATAGACTGACCTGGGGGGCTTTTACTGGGGGGCAGACTGTTGGGGGGGATTGTACTGGGGGGCAGACTAACCTGGGGATGTACTGGGGGATAGACTGACCTGGGGGACTTGTACTGGGGGGAAGACTGACCTTGGGGGGATTGTACTGGGGGACAGACTGACCTAGGGTATATTGTAGGGGGGGAGACTGACCTGGGGGGTTGTACTGGGGTATAGACTGAACTGAGACCTGGGGGGATTGTACTGGGGACAGACTAAACCGGGGAGATTGTATTGTGGGCAGACTGACTTGGGGGGGGGGGGCGGTTTTACTGAGAGGCAGACTGATCTGGGGGGTTGTACTATACAGACCAAACTGGGGGGACTGTATTGAGGACAGATTGAACTGTAGGAGTTTGTACTGGGGACAGACCAAACTGTAAGAATTGTACTTATGGGGACAGACTGAACTGGGGGGATTGTACTGAGGACAGACTGATCTGGGGGTTTAACTATGCCGCTGTATTAGGGACAAACTGGCCTGGGGGGGATTGTAATGTGGGGCAGACTGACCTGGGGGAGTGCATTACTACTGGGGGGCAGACTGACCTGGGGGATTGTACTGGACCTGGGGAGATTCCCAGGTCTTTTACTATCCCGTGGGGGGATTGTACTGTGGGGAGGGGGGGGGGGGGGATGGGCAGCCTGGGGCCCCTGACAAATGGCAGGAAGGTGATAATGAAAGTCCCCTCTGTCATATCAAATGTTTCTGGATTGTTGTGTCTTCAGCATTCACCATCCGGATCAGAATCATCAAATTAAATGAATGCCCCGCCCCTAATTAAAGTACATGCTCCCAACAATGGCTTTCTGGACACAGAAAAAAAGTTGTGTCTAGAAACTTTTTTTGAAACATCAGCAAGTATACTCTTCATTCTCTTCTATTTCTGCATCCTCTAGGGCCGGCCTATTGGGGTCTCACTCCGGAGTGGCTGCTCTGCGCTGCATCACATATCTGATGTGATCCAGCTCTTCTAGGTAGGGGGTATGCGCATGCGCCTGCAGCCCCAGCTGTGCTGTCATTCGTTACACCACAAGCCAATCAGCAGGTCCCGTCCAATGATTTAGGGCCAGGACCCACCAATTGGCAGAGCGAATCACAGGAAAGAGCTCTTTGATTGTAAACAACACAGAGCTCTTATCTGACAGTACATCCCTTAAGTAAAATCAGCACACAGTAAACACTTCACACTTGTTAGGCACACAGTTAACCCTTTGATTGCCCCTCGGTGGTAACCCCTTCCCAGCCAGTGTCATTAGTGCAGGGTCAGTGTATATTATTATCACTGATCACTGTATTAGTGTCACTGGAGATGTCAGTGTCACTTTATTCAGTTCTCACACATGTCAGTTAGTGCCACGTTGCCCGCCGTACTATCGCAGTCCCATTATAAGTCACTGATCAACACCATTACTAGTATAAATAAATAACAATTCCAGTACACAATATTGCCAAAAGTATTGGGCCCACCCTTCAAATCATGTGATTCAGGTGTTCCAATCCCCTCCATGGACACAGGTGTATACAATCAAGCCCCTAGGCATGCAGACTGCTTCTACAAACA